AATGAAACCAAAAAATTTGACCCTGAAACGTTCAAACAACTCATCGACCCAGTGGGTCGGATTGGCCCGTTACACAGAAATTAATGTTGTGTCCAGTCGGGCTCAAGGTCAAGTGTCCATCAAATCTGTTCACATTACTGATTATTTCTGGAAGATCTCTGCATATTTAACAACAAATTCACGGATGCATGTTTGTGCTTAATGTACGCCTGCATAAGGGGAACAGCACTGACCCCTAACCATGTACCTACGGCTTCTGTGGGTCCTATCGAGGCATATTTGATTTTGCATAGCCCAATACCTATGGTTATGAACAAAGCGTTTCAAATGCGATCTCATACATGGAAAAAGTTTTTGAAGAAAAAATGCACATAAAATTCCACAGAGGTTTGTCTGATGGCGAACAGGATAGACTGTGAGCTTTTTACCGCATTCAAGCAATGCATGGATATATTTAAGAAGCTGAAAATCAACACGTTGATGTCCATTTGGTTTTCCACCTTGTGTAAGTCTATCCCATGAGAAATAATCTCGTAAACTGATGGGGATTACAGGGCTTCTTACATGAACGTTTGTACACTTACCGAAGTTGAATCCTACAAAAGAATAAACAGACCATTCGTAATGTCCCTCTGAGTTTAGTTTCAGGCACATTTAACTAGAAGTGCTATGAATTACACTGTACGGAATGAGATTAAACATAGGGCACTTCATAAAGCACAATGGACTTTCATCTAATGAGAGCAGATGCAATGCTCATAAACGGAGAAACTTGCTTCTCCAGGAACATCATCGAAGACTGGGAGTTATAAAAGGAACGTTTGTTTCGTCTCATAAAGATTAAATGCCCCTTCTTACATACGACATGAAGAACCCTGATGCCCTCCGTGGCCAATACCAGTTCTGAAAAAAATATGTAAACGTGAAAGATTCTGTAAGACAATCCTGTTATAACGGGTGCCTAGGCCGAGATTTTGCTGCCCAATGACGTCCTGTGTGAGTCCCCGAAGGGAGAACAAGACAGGAAGTGTGCAGAATCGGAAGTCATTGATTATCATATGTACAGTAAAATTAGGGGAAACAAACGTGCATAACGATGTCCACTGAGTCAATCAGGTTTCCCTCTGAGATGGTGACTGGTCCCATTGGTTAATTGACTCAGTGGAGGACAGAGGTTTAAATTCTGAATTATCGATCGCCTTGGCGGCTTGTGCATTCGTCCGTTTAGGACGATCGATTTCCTGCTTGGGTGGTGGCCGTGAATTGCAAGCTACTGCTTGCTAAGGCTGTTGATGGGCCGTCCTAATAAATCCGTCAGAACAATGAATTTTACGCTGATAAAAAGACAATGTGGATAAGAGTAAGGGCTTAATTTTCAAAATAATGACAGAAGTTCGCGGGTAGTTACTACACAGTTACTCTCTAAGGAACGTAAGCAAGCATGTTATCCAATCCGAAGGGGACACAGAAAGCTAGGGTACGCCCACGGTGTCTAATAATTGGGTAGGCCTGAATAGATTATACGCATAATTGTCTGTAATTTAAGGGAAACAAATAAGGTTCAGTCTGTCTAACTTCGTAAGAAAGATGCGCAAGATTCTTCAACTTCTTCGTAGTGCTAGCCTAAACTCATCTCATAAGTCGATAACTCTTGAATAAATAAATGTTATATTTTAGGCCCGGAGGGCTTCGTTATTACAAAATTATTGCTGTGGTGAGTAATAGTTACTGAGTCGATAATTGTTGGCCTGTGTGAGCAACCACACAGGCAGTGGAAGTGTTAAGTATGGTAGGCAGACAGTTTCACATTCGACACCATAACGTCAATTCAAAATAATATTTAACGCTCTCTGAAAAGTACGGTATACTAAAGAGGAAGCAGCGAAAAATAACTCCCACCACGGAAGCAAGGGCAGAGTTTAGCAGACCTTTCCCCTTATAAAAATAAAAGGTAGGAGAATAAAATTGTTTCTATAAAAATTAAGACGTTGATTGGTAGAATTTTTGCGCTACAGTGAGACAGGACTGTGGTTGTTGATGAGAAAGTATGAAGGATCGAACAATTTCTTCTCTTTGGAGAAATCATATCAGTATCAGTATATTTGAGGGATATGTAAGTGGATTGCATTTGAGTTCCCTTTTGTAAATATGTGTTATGGTAGCAGAAAAATAGTATCTTAGTACGTTGGCGAGGCCAACTGACATGAGCCATGAGGCGGAAAATAGCTTAGAAAGCGAGCAGAGAATTTAAAAAATGCTCATTGGAATTTTTGAGGATAAACTGTCACTCTTTGGGGAAGGATCTGAGAGGGGGGCATTACAGAGGTCTGATACTCTCTTGCTGATTGCAGAATCCACCGGCAAGTTTGGGAAAGCAGAAACATCCGCCCAGCTCGTCAACAGTCCGCTGCAGGTCGAACTAAAGGAGAACGTTTAGGGGCCTCGTGAACCATGCCCGCTAGGTTCACCTGTTGCGAGCGCTGACGAGATCATCACGGTATGCAGATAGACAAGTATGGAAGACTGCGGAGATGTTCGCATGAGATTTATGGTTGGAGAGCCTAGGCCATAGCTCTTCATAAATAAAATAGTATATCAAATGTTACGGAAATGTGGCTAGTAGTATTACAGTTGTCCGTTTTTTCACCGTTTGTAGGGTGGAGTGGAACCCTCCTTACCGTAAAACGTTATGCTATAAAACAAATCCTACTAGAATATAGGAAGTGGTATTCTAATTGTAATTTGTCGACGGCGGTCAGTTCGTACTGTAGCTCGCACTGCCATATCGATCCAACTTTCGCTTACCAACCTCTAGGGATTCCGATATAACGACATCCAGAGAAAGAGTATTTCAAGCCTCGACCACTCTTTTGGAGATAAAGTACTTCTCAGCGTCCAGTCTGGCCCAGTCACACGTAATTTGAGAGGATCCCCTCTCAAGTTCATCGTTGTTGCTAACTCATAGAAATCGCTTGATATAAGACGGCAGTCCTGAACGCCTAATATATGGAATTTTAGCATCAGGTCCCCCAAAGCCGTCTGTAGCGCAAGCGGAGG